CCCCCCCCCCCCCCCCCCCCCCGCCTTCGGCCCGGAGCCTGGTGAAAATCCTTGTCCCACGAAAATCACAATAAAAGCCTGCCCTGGGGCTCCCCCGGTGGCTCTAGTGGTGTGGCATGTGCCCTCCTCTTGGCAACTTTTATAAACTCCTCTTTCAAGACAGTTTCTTTATGTCTGTCATCTTACCACACCGGATTAACACAAATCCCACCTACATTGTAAAATAGGTAAGCCCTGGAAACCTCTCCTACGATACGGTTTTCCACAGCAGAAAGCTGGAATCCTGGCAACATTTGTTATCTCACAAAATATGCTTAAAATGTGTTTGGCAGAAGAAAAAGAGTCCCTCGTCTCAACTTCTCTTCTGAGCTCCACTCGTTAATCATCAAATAGAAGCCAGGAAGTCTACAACTCAATTACGTTCAGAACTACTCCTGATCTTCCCTCTTCTCACACCTGTTCCCACGTTCATGTTTCTTAGTCTCAGAAACAAAACGTCACTATCCACACAGCTGCCCGAGCAGCTTCAGAATGATCTCTTCGTGGCCCTTCTCTTCCCACCAGCACCTACTGTCCCCAGGGTGTCCTGGACAGGAGTTCCATGCTCTCAGTATCCCTAACCTGGAGCACAGCATGGGATCTGGCACATAACTGTTGCACAGTGAACGAACCATGAACCCCAAACTCCCCACATGTCCCCTGTAATGCACACTCTGCTAACCTTTCGAGGCTCTTGCAGGAGCTTCCTGACGGCCTGCAAGCTTTCCCCACTTCTAACCCTTCACAGGCCTTCACTTTTCTCAAGCACAGTTCTGATACGTCCATTTCAAAACATGCAGCTCCCCACTGCCAAAGTCCTGTGTAAGCTTTCAAGGCTCTTTATGATCCAGCCCCAACCCCTTTTTCATGTTTTATCTTTCATGGATCCATATGCTTTTATGTTTCTGGACCTTTGTTCATGCTGTTTCCTCTGCTGAAAACCAATCTATAACTATTCTCATCTGTGTCCACAGGACTTTATTTCTACCATCAGTACACTACTCCTCACACCACAGCACGCTTTGTACACAGGCTCCTGCCTCTGTCCTCCCCATCCAGCCCCCATCATCCTAGATTGTGAGCCCCTTCAATGCAGTAATCCTGTTATATTTATCCCTATATCCAGGCCTGTATGCTTGCAAGGTTTAAAGCAGATGCCCAAGTGACTTTCAAGTTTAAAAAGATGCTCAGATTAACTGTAAATAGCCACGGAAGATTAAAAGCAAACCAAAAAACACTACTAAAGTGGACTATGTTCTCAGTAATCCACAGACATTAACAACAAGGAAGGTCAAGTACAATAAACTAATCTAAAGTTTACAGGCTCCCAGAAGTGTCCCGTGAGACTGGGGAGATGGGCATGGTGACTGAAAAGGGATATGCCTTGTTGAAAGTAACTACAAACAACAGTAATAATGGCCAGTAGGCACTGAGCACTGGGTTCAGTTAGTATGTGCCAAGTAAGTTATATGTATTATTCATTGTGTTCCTCCCAGCAGGCTTATGAAGTAGGACTACTATCATCCCTGTTTTATTCACAGGAAAACAAAACGACAAAAAATCCGAGGCAGGGAAAGTTAAGAAACTCAGCAGAGGTCACTCAGGTGGTAAGTGAAGCAAATCCAGGCTGTGCGACTAACACGACTATTAAGTTAAACCACCTTTTCAAAGGACAGGTGTGGCAGGAAAACTGCAAAATGTTAAGGTGTAGACCTGTATGGACAAACACCACCCTGAGGTCCAAAGCAAACGGATGAAGAGTACAGACAAAAAAGAGAAATTTCATTATTGTGTCTGCATGACTTGGGACAACCTAAAAAGCTACACACCATCCTATCACAGACTGTGGGAACAGCACAGGGTCATATACAGTAGTGGGGGGGGGTATAACGCCGTTGACGCCTGCCAACAGTCTCATTCTCTAAAAAGTGAGCCTGTCAAATTCTTGCACAATCTTGCTGACAGTTTCAACTCTCAGTAGGAAGGAAACAATCAGAAGGAACAATGAAAGGAGGAGACGCCATAACCTATTTTAACCAGTAAAGAAACATGGCTTGATAACAAGGGATCAAGAGGAATCAGTAAAGATAACCTAGCAGAAAAATTAACTGTGATCTATTTCCTATAGGATCATCAGACTGAAAATGAGAAAGAATAAAGAGGTGGTGGTATTTCTCCCTAATTCTACCCCAGCCAAAACCTATGATGTACTGGAACTCCCAGGTGACTTAGACACACCCTGCAGGGCTAAAAGTTAGCAGTGGGGGTTCTGGATAGTTGGGCCAGTGGAGGTGGGACACAGTGGGAAGCAGACTGTAGGCAGAGAACAAAATGCAAACTTCACATACCTAAACTCAAACTCCAGCTGTGCCTCTTATAAGCTGCATGACTTTGACATGTTACTTAACCACGCAGTTTCAGGTTTCCTCACCTGCAAAATCAGGATAATACCACCACCTTCTTAGGGTAATAGTGAAATGAGACAATGATAAAAAGCACTGAGCTCAGGGCCTGGCACCTAGTATATACACAAAAAGGTCAGCCTTCAGTATGGTAACTGTTTTCCCTAAGAGATTTCTCTGTAACTCACGAAGTTTTCTAGAATGATTTGCTTGCTGTTACTCCCACCAAGCTTCACAGCACTTAATGCAAACCCTGACAGAAAAATAAGTAAAGTGAGCCTGCCTTCATTTTCATGTCAATGTTTTGGTGCAATCCAACCAAACATTTTGAAAGCCCTATAATGTCACTTTGCTAGGCTAAGCTGGACGGGGACAAACGGGTAGTCTGAGTAAAAGATAACCCCACCTTCAAGAACTGCACAATCTCTTTGGGGAACAAAGGGAAACCACCAATAATTCCTCCTGAGCTGCAAAGGTTAGGCTGCAACCCAGTTGGCAATGACAAGAAATCCCCAAAACAGCCACAGAAACATGTCTTTGGTATTTTTGGATGTCTGTGGATTAACTGCCCGGTCGTTTTTAAGAAATGAATGACTCTGAAAACTACTGACAGCAAACAGTGGATCTCATACGGGTTGGTCTTTAAAGTCAATTGTTGTAGGTTATACACGTATTAAGAGGAAAAGAAAAGAAAAAGAAGGGAAAAAAAGGTAAGTGAAGTATCTGAGCATGCACTACAAAGATGCCGACAATGGAGGCAAACACATGAAAGATATCTTGTTCGCCTCTAGGACAGGAAGTAGTAAGTACTAAATGAAGGTCAATCAGCAGTCCAGCCTGACTTGGAAATAACGGAAAGATTTTTGTTTTCCAAAAGTGAAAACAGTTTATTTGGTTTTTATTGTCAAAAGTAATATAAGCTCAAGGCTAAAAAAACAGTAATAATAATAAGGAAACTCACACATAATCCCCCCATCCAGAGATCATCACAACCTTTTGATGTTTCTCCTCCCAGACTTTTACTAAACATATATTCATACCTATTACTTCTTTTTCAAAAATGGGAGAGTACCACACGTGTGCTACCTTCTCTCCCACACCTCCGTGTATCCTACTCATCTTCCCACCCGACATGGAATCCCAAAATCAAAGTCACACGGCAGTTTTCCACAGGAATATTCCCTGACACCGTGAAAAGATGACAAAGGGAATGCAAGACACAAAACGTGGGGCTACAAGACCCTGACCGACTGTTAAAGCTACCAGGTTCCACACATCTACTCCGAGACCAGCTTGGGAGAGGTGCAGAGTTCTCAGCACCCAGGGCTGCCCGAGGAAGGGAAGGGCAGAGTCCATGCTCTGGGAGCTGCCCAGTTGCAGACCTCACATCTGCACCATCAGCCTCATGGCCGAGGCCTCTGCACCGAACACCCGCCTCTGAAGGCCCTGCTGCCCAACCTCAGAGCCTTCCAGGCAACCTGCAGCGGGACGGCGGCGACGCCTTCGGCTCACAGGGATCCGGCGGGGCGCACCTTTCTGCCCCTGCGCCCTGGACTCAGAGCTGCTCTGGGCTGGTCACTGAATTGGTCTGTTCACCTATTACCTTCCCAAAGCACAGATTCATCACACTATTTAAACAGGTATACTAATCTGCAGAACTTCTCACAACGTTTAAGGAGTATAAAAGCAGCTTTTGCTAACGAAGAGTTGCCCAAAGATCAATTTTATCTACATTTTCCTTAAGGAATGTGGCATAAAGAAGTGAGGGCTACATCACCAGACAGTTTTAACGTATAAACTCACAAAGCAGAGTTCATGTACTGATTAATGGTCCCAGCTGCAGGAAAAAAGACGGCTGATATGAGGAAACGGCAATTCCTTTTCTACTGTTCCTGGACAAGAAGAGAGAAAAGCTGAAGAACTCCATCTTTACCCTGACCCAACTGTACCATAAGTGCAAAAAGGGGCTCAGGTGAGGGTCCATAAGGCAGCATGTAAACCGGGAACCCGTGACAGTCCAGCATGACCTAAACCACAGTCAGCACCCTGCTCTCGGGCACAGGGGACAAGACATGTAGTCTAGGGCACCAAAAAACAGGCTGGGCTGGAGGCAAAGCTGGAGCCTGAGTGGCCGAGACAGAATGAGGGACTGCTACAACTTGAACTGGACAACCAGCTCGACAGTGGCCAATTCTAAACAGGCACAGCCAGCTAGCAGACCTGTGGAGGTCTGATGCAAACCTAAAAAGTACAAGAGGCACTGAAAAACAGACTTTACTTTATGTAATACTTATTAGGAAATTACTAGTACTCTGTAATTTCCAGAATCTCATAATGAAAGTAATCGTGTGTACACAATGATCTTTGTATGTGCATCAAGAGACCAGGTGGAAAAATAAAAGGAAAATGTCACACCTCAGGCTCTAACCTACAGAGGCAATGTCAAAGGTTGTTTAGGGGACTCCCCCAAGTTCTGGGTGAGACTAAAAGGATAGAGAATGGGGCTTAGAAAGACAGAAACTAGTGGAACCAGAGCCCCTGTGGCATCACCTGGAAATGAACTAGTTCATCCCTACTTATATTTTGGGTCTCTACTATTGATAAACTCTATTTCATAAGTGCTACTAGTGAAATCTGTCCAAAAACAAAAGATGTGAAGAAAGTCGGTTAGTCTTAAAGCTAGGTTTAGGTTCGATACCAACCCCTGTTCAGCAACCCCCTTCAGTTTGGGCTGAAGCTTAATATCCCATTGGGATCATTCATCTGTCAACATTTATCGAGTACCTATTCTGTGCCAAGCACTGGTTAAGGTGCAGGAAACAAAAAGCATACAGTACAGTCCTCGCCATTTAGTTTATAAACAGTAAGAAAATCATTATTCACAACAATGGGATAAAGGCCTGACATAGAATATTTAGTGGCTGGATCAGTACTATAATACAAGCGTGTATAAAAAGCAAGAGCCCATCCCAAAGGACACCTATCCTTTTGCCATAACATAGATGAACCCAAGTTCATCTGTTTTATACTCTTGTACACAGAAACCATCCCTAAAAGAATAAACAATTAGCTACCAAGGTTTATGAGACAAGGGGGAGGAACAGTCAAAAGTATTATTACTCATTTTATATAAAAGAATATTTTAATTCTTGTCCTTAGGAACTATAAAGACTATACGTGATTTGGAAATGAGACCGTACCAAACAATGGCCAAAGAAGAATCGTCCACTCTATGCCTTTTCTTTGGTCTGGTCACTCAGAAATATAATATTATCTGTAAAGAAGCCAAAGCAGAAGTATTATTTTCAGAACTCTTTCTCCATCTAATTAATCACTCCTCTATAATACACACAAACTTAAATGCTGTTAACTAAACGACTTGAGAAAAATTCCCAAAATGTGAAGTGACTCCTGCTGTGTTCATTAGCGGCATAAACAACAGGAAAAATGGAGCTAAAAGCTGGGCTTCAGCTATTTTTCAACAACTCAGACCTTGTCGGGAGACGTGTGATAGTTCCTGTCTTCCCTGAACACAGTTATAACCGCCTGGCAGTAACTTGCTACAAAAGAACTAGTCACCGATTTCAAAGTTTGCAATGCTCTGATCGATGCCATGATACCAGGCAGCACATCCACACACACAAGAGGGCCAAGGCACAATGTTACACATGCTGGAGGTAGAGAGAGGACAAGGTCCAACACAGATTTATTGATTTTTTTTAAGTAGGCTGCAACACTCACACAGAAGACATTCTAGTTTTAAATTTTAAAACACCCTGATTTTTATATACTCATTCTTGGGAAAACTTTTACTACTCCATATCACAGGGAGAGCATTCTCATACAAGAACATCAGACATTGCACTTAAAATGTTGTCCCAGACAGAGTTAGTTCAGGACAGGCAAAGGAAAAGTAGTAGTACTTCCTGTATAACTTGAAAAGATCTAGATACTCGTAACTTTAAGATTACTTAAAAAGTGGCTATTACATGACAGTATTTACGACTAGTCTTCTAAAAATAGAATATTTTGGTAAAGAACGGTTATTTCAGAAGAGATTAGAACAGACACCACAGCGTAAAATGGCAAGAGTGCCATCCACTGGTGATTAAGTTCTAGACATGGATCCCTAGGAGGAAAAAACATGACCTACAAAACCAAGCAACCAAATTTAAACTCTATTTCTTTCAATTCAAATGTTACTGAACATCTATTCATTTTCACTACTAGCCATAAATCCACTTTAAAAGCTCAATCAACTCACCCATGCGGTGAATACTAGTTACAAGAAGAAAACAAAATGGCAGATAATCTGAACTGTTTCTACTGAGTAGCTAGTTTGGTTCAGAATAATTCACACATTCCAAAGTTTACCCACACTTTTGGTTTACAACAGAATATGAAAGTATTAAATAAACACATAATTGATAAAATAAACACAAAATTGATAAAGACTTAGAAATGCAATTATTTTACTAGAAAGTTTGGTTTGGGGGATCCTGGGTGGCTCAGCTGGTTAATTAAGCATCTGAGTCTTGATCCCATCTCAAGGTCTTGAACTCAGGATTGTGAGTTCAAACCTGTGAGTACAAGCCTCCATGCCCAGTGTGGAGAACGAAGAAAGGAAAGAAGGAAAGAAAAGAAAAGAAAGAAAAAAAAAAGAACAGAAAAAGAATGAGAGAGAAAGAAAGAAAAAAGGAAGGAAGGAAGGAAGGAACAAGGAAGGAAGGAAGGAAAGAAAGTTTGGTTTTCCACGTTTCCACATAAAAGTCTATTACTTTTTTTATTGTTATTTTTTGAGAGAGAGAGAATGCACATGTGTGTGCAAGCAGGGGAGGTGCAGAGGGAGAAGGAGGGAGAGAATCTTAAGCAGACTCGAAGCTTAGTGGGAAGCCCAACACGGGTTTCAATCTCACAACCCTAAGATCATGACCTGAGCCAAAATCAAGAGTCGGGACACTTAACTAAGTCCCCCAGGCACCCCCAGAAAAAAATTTTGAACAGGTAGGTATCTCTGGAGATATGGCTCAAGGAAGATGAGGGCACCCAGAAATGAAATACTGTCAAGACATTCAAGAAATTATGGAAGCAAAATGGTCACAAAGGACCTCATCTAAAGTCTGATGAGGGTTCAAAGATAATTATATTGGTTTTCAAGATCAATACACATTCAAAAAAACCAGTAAGAGAATATATTTTTTGACTATTATTTACAACAAATTAGAACTTATCAATATGGTTAAGACATGAACTCTGGAGCTAAGTAAAGGAGAACGATAAAAGGAAAATCTGTCGATTAAAAGAGACTTAAGTTCTCAAGAGTTCTCGCCTCCAGAATTCTGAGAAAATAAATTTGCTGCTTAAAAAAAAATAAGAAAGAGACTCAAGATATAAGCCATGTAATATAGTGTATGGACTTGTATTTATTAAGCAATCAAAAAAATTTAAACATTGTGATGTCTGGTAAAAATATTTAAATTTAATATTAGGTGTGATAACAGCATAGTAGTTATGCCTTAAATAGGAATCCATATCTTTCAGATATACCTATTGAAAACACTTATGGATGAAATAATATAATGTCTGAGATTCACTTCAAAATAATCCAAGTGTAGGGGCGCCTGGGTGGCTCAGTCGGTTAAGCATCCGACTTCGGCTCAGGTCATGATCTCGCGGTCCGTGGGTTTGAGCCCCGCATCGGGCTCTGTGCTGACAGCTCAGAGCCTGGAGCTTGTTTCAGATTCTGTGTCTCCCTCTTTCTCTGACCCTCCCCTGTTCATGCTCGCTCTCTGTCTCAAAAATAAATAAATGTTAAAAAAAAATTTAATAAAAAAAAAATAATAATAATCCAAGTGGAGGAAAAGTGGGTTGGGGCTATAGAAGAAATCACACTTGCCATCAGTTGGTAACTGTTGAAGCCAAATGATACATTTCCTTTTTTTTACTTTTCTATATTTGTGTATGTTTGACGTTTTCCATAATTTAAAAAAATCAATTTTTAAAGGATGTCTAACATTGGCGTATCTCAAAAGTTCATAAACACTGAGACATTACTTTCTTTCATTCCCATCTACTTATTAAAAAAAAAAATTAGGTTTCTCAGTATTTACATCCATAAAAACAAACAAAAGAACAAAATTAACATTTAACAACTGTCTTATTAATTTTTCCAAGAGGTTAAAAAAAAAACCATCTTCCTCATTAAAAAGTGTATTTTTAATAAAATTTCAGTTTTCATATTTATATATTAAAATTGTTTTGGTCACATATGTTCTAAAAACAACTATAATGATAACCCAATCAAAAAATATGTAACATTTAGAGCCTTAATATCACATAATTTTTTTAACGTTTTAAAATTTCTATTTAGGTATGTATTTTTGTTACAAACATAATACAATGAATAATAAAAAGTTCTGAATTGTACAATATATGTTAAAATACCTTTCTTAGGAGAAAATGGAAAAACAAGTTCGGAGAACAAGAAATAACAAAATTTCCAAATGCTTAAGAGCTTGTTGAATTTTTTTAAAAAAAATGAGGAGTATCAAACTGCTATGGTATTTACAGCCACTGATACATTTCAGGGTAACAACTTCTTATTGAAAAAAGATTTTTACGTCAACTTAAGTATGTCCAAAAGAACTATATCTTTTCAAACTTCTTGTAGAATTTTCAAAACAGTTTGAAAACTCTGCTCTAGGAGATATCTTCTTTTTTTTTTCTTTTTAATGTTTTGATTTATTTTTGAGAGACAGAGCACAAGAGCATGAGCAGGGGACGGGCATGGAGAGATGAGGACAGAGGATCGGAAGTGGGTTCCGCTGACAGCAGAAGAGCCCAACGCAGGGCTAGAACTCATGAGCCATGAGATCATGACCCAAGCCAAAGTTGGACACCCAACCGACTGAGCCACCCAGGCGCCCCTAGGAGGTATCTTCTTAATCTTTAAGCTTTGTGTGTCCATGTTTCCTACATTGTTTGCATTTTCTTAGGAACTTAAAAATCATCATGTTCTGGGGTGCCGGGGTGGCTCAGTCACTGAAGCATCCGACTTCAGCTCAGGTCATGATTCACGGTTCACGAGTTCGAGCCCCGCATTGGGCTATGCGCTGACAGCTCAGAGCCTAGAGCTTGCTTTGGATTCTGTGTCTCCCTTCCTCTCTCTGTCCCTCCCCCATTCACATTTTGTCTCTCCGTCTCTCTTTCAAAAATAAACATTAAAAAAATATTTCTTTTTAAATCATCATGTCCAGCACCAAGCAGGTTCTCAATAAATCTGCACAAATGTCTAATGCCCCTCACGGCGGTGTAACTTTACCTTGGCACAGGCTTCTGCCTGTTTACGCCATGTCCTCAGACACTAAAATTTTTTTTACTTCAAACAGTAAGGACCAACAGACACTCTACTCAAAAGTTACTTGTGAAATGAAAGTGAGCACAGAGAGAATTTTCTGAAGGAACTGTAGAAACCATAGCAAATCCCTGAGCCACACTCGCAATTCTCACGGTGAGTTGCCTGACCATCTCAGCATCTGTACCCAAAGTCCCCGTTAAAGTTACTTATAAGAAGCCAAGCTTTTTATAAGGGAAGAGAGAGGAGGGAACAGCTGTTACCACAAGCTTCTTACCAGCTATGATTGTTGTTGCCTGTCGCCTCACATTGTTTTTATCTGTGTATTCACCATAGTCGACTTTCCCTTCCACATAGATACGGGACCTGATAAAAATAAAATTCACTTTTCAGTCTGGAGATTCTAATGTGTTTGAAAAGAGAGTCAGGTGAGAGCAGGAACAAGTACACACTGAGGATGAATACAGAACCAACATCTTGACTCTTGATTTTGGCTCAGGTCATGATCCCAGGATTGTGGGATCAAGCCCCACGTTGGGCTCCTCGTTGAGCATGCAGCCTACTTGAGATTCTCTCTCCCTCTGCCCCTCCCCTGCTTGAGCGTGCATGTGCACACAAGCTCTCTCTCTCCCCCTTAAAAAAAATTTTTTTTAAAAGACCATGAAATGGAAGAGCAACATAGTGGCATCCTTTAAATCTCTGGGACTGACTTCCAATCTGCCATTTTTCTTCACCTTTTATTTTTGACCCCCTAACAGATTTGTTGATTTTCACTTATTTTTCAGTTCCTTTCCATAGTCACGTTCATGAATTTATTTTCCAGGGACTTAGATTATTAAAATTCAAAACAGAGGTTTTGGTGTAGTATTTCACTTAGACTTAATCACTAAGACCATTTCTGCATTGTTTAGAAGGCTGAACTAGAAGACAACCATAACTCTGATTTTAAAGGATAGAAAATGCATGCTAGCATTTATTTTCAGTCTACCCTTACCAAAAAAGCATAATATAGGAGACAAAACTGGTAAAGTGATCGGGTGTCGAATATACACATAAACCGCAAACAGATATTTTCCTTGAAATTTCCTGTATTTATACGTATGTGTAGATGCACAAACTTATACATACATATATAAAGGACTAAGAAAGTAAACAGAAAAAAAGGAACACAGTTTATTGAAAAGAAACAGAAATTTTAGTTATTCCTGAAATTGTTTTCCATGAAATCTATTTTACTTCTATAAAACTAGCACATTTCTAAATACATTAACTATGAATACAACTGCTGTTCAACATACGCTTTTGTCTTTCCACGGGTTTGGAAATGACACTTTTTATCTATACACTAAGCATTCCAAAAGGGAGCCAAACTAAAATTACCAAATATAAAACAACAGCTGTGAACACTGCCATAATACCTCACCTGTGCCAGGCTACACACACATTCCAGATCCTGTACTAAGGACTCCATGCAGATGCCAAGAGGCAAGACACCCGCCGTGGGGATCCCTGGCTGCGGCGACATAGGAACTCCTAACAGCATGGGTTGCACCTGCTCATACGGTGCTCAGTACACTTTGCCTTCTCTCTTGCCTCATCTGCTTCTGTTTATGTATACCTGTTATTTGGCCTAAATTATAAATTCTTAGCAAGCAAAACCATGTTCTATACATCTCTGAATTAGACACACGGCGACACACCGTGCATATAACACTAAGCTCTGAGTAAGTATCGAGTTAACACAGAGTTATTAGAATAAAGGAGGTAGGCATTCCCTGAGAACACCTGTTACCAGTTTTTTTAAACCATTCAATCTGTAAGATCCTTCTTTCTCAACTTACCCCTTTTTCACATACTGATACGCCACATCTCTGAGGCCTGGTCGGAATACTGATATTCTGTGCCATGTCGTCTTTTGACTGACATCACCTAAATCTCAAGAATAGAAAATGTGGTTATAAACGCCAGCAGACCAAACCAATGCCAAAAGACAACATGCCCAGCAAAACCAACGTCACAATTTCGAAGAGAAAAGCACAGAATCAGAGAAGATTCTTTCTAAAAGCACCTCATATCTAATTAGCTGAGAATAATGTCTATTTATTGCTGATACAATTAAAACCCCAGTCTGTATACTCACCCATTTGGTATACTTCACTCTCCCCTGACCGCCACATCTCATTCGTTGCTAGAGAAAATATTGTGACCGGGTTCTTCCCTTCCACCTGTCTCATGACGGGGTCCTGACCCACTCGCCCAAGGAGCTGCACACGGTTCAGAGCTGAAACAACGTGTAAATAAAAGGAGCTTGAGAGAAAGGTACAGAAGAGGAACAGCTACAAATATTATTTCAATTTCAATCTCAGCATTGAGCAAAACCCAAGTTCTACACGTTCAGAAGGTAAGTTGAAGGGACAAATAAAGGCCGTATGGGAGAGAAAAGAGGATTGGCAAGAAAGGAGAAAATATTCTTTGAAAAAGTAGCCCACAAACAAACACTAAGTTCTTTACTTTACCTTAAATTCTTTGAAATACCTTTTTTAAAAAAAAAAAAACCATAAGGTTAAAAAAACAAATCTGAGATCTGAAAATCTTTATAAATACACAGGACTACTCCATGAAAGAAGAGCTTTCACAAAGTTTCACTCTCTCAGCCAAATAGCACATGACCTTGGAAGAATTAGATAACCAGATAGGACTCAAGGAGATTCTAGAAGGCCCCTGCAGCCTGATGGGGCAAGGCCAAGAGTGGAGAGCCCAAAAGGAGCCAAAGGCATGACGATTACCTGCGTATAACGCAACCAGTGCACCTCTTCTACCACACATTTAAGAACAAACAACATACTTTAAACTTGGAAATTAGCCACTACTTACATCTTTCAAGAACCAAGCTGCTGGCTATTTCAGACTCACGTCTTACAAACTGATGAAACACCTAAAGGGGAATAAATCAGTGAAATGGTTTTAATTCGGGGGGAAAGGTAAACCCAAACAGAAGACCTGCTCATACTCAGTCACCATCTGGTTGGCAAGTCCTACAGCATTCATGCCCAGAACACAAGCAGTGCCCTTCACTGTCCCCCCACCACAGTGCCAGGAGGACCATGCAAATGCTTGAGGGCCATCTACTACAGAAGCCCAAAGGTACACAGAGCCAGACGGCATGCCCAGGAAAGCTAATTTAGAATCCTCTCCTGGTTCTTTCGTGGTAACCCTCCTGATTATGGTGCTTCCATAGTTGTGCAAAAAAAGGTCAAATCATATATATGCTGGAAAAATTCATGCTTTTGATAGACCAAAGAGAAAAGTCTAAGACAAATCTGATTCTCTGATAAGGTACAAAATAGGACTATTCAAGTCAGTCTGTCAGAGGAAGGCAGTAACTAACACAAACTGGTGGCGGCATTCAATGATCTTGCAGCTATCACTACTGAAGACCAGCTAAGTGCTTTACCTCTTACAAATTAATCCTCAGAATAAATGTATACACTGTGTAAAATTATCCCTACTTTGGAGATGAAAAAAATGAAACTTAGGGAGATTAAGTAAAGTGCCCAAAATCCTACAGGAAGTAACTGGCAAGTCATGCCTGGAACCCAGGGCCATCCAACACCAAGGCTGCCACTGTTCCCACCGCCCTCTGCTGCCTCCTTAAGGACATTCTGTTCAAGGGCTACTGCCATGGTAGGAGCACAGGTCACCAGGCACATTGCTGATTTCAACGATCAGAGAGCTAACCATTACATCAGAGAAACAGGTATCATATGGTAGCACTTTTAATATAAAAAGCAAACATCCACCAACCAAATGAACAGCCATTCCTGGAATACTGTTGACTATGGAATCCTACCACTGTGTTTTGGAGCAGCAGGTGGTTAAGAAATAAAGATGGAGTTATAACACGGCAAAGACTCAAGCAAACTAGTACTTGTGTCATACTTCTAGAATTGTACCAATTTAAGTACTGAGGTGAGCCAGAGCTCCTAAGTCTTATAGGATAATATGTCTCATTTTGGGCAAACGAAAATTAAGACCTACTAGAAAAACAGAAATAGGTGAAGAATTAACTGGGATAATTTTTAAAATTAAATTCTTAACTTTTACATCTAGCTTTAAAGATTTCTTAAAGCATTAAGACAGTCGTTAACTTTTCTGTTTCACGTTTACACACACACACACACACACACGCAAAACGTTAAAAGTCTGTATAGGTTAAAGTGAGGATCCAAGAATACAGAGTTAATTCTATAGTAGAGGGAGGGAGATGAGAACAGGTTTCCCAGAGGAACAGCTTCTTCATTAGTCTTAACAGGATGGGAAGTAAGAGGTGTTATAAAGAATCTACAAGGGCACCTGGGTGGCTCAGTCAGTTAAGCAGCCGACTTCAGCTCAGGTCATGATCTCGTGGTCCTGAGTTCAAGCCCCGCGTCAGGCTCTGTGCTGACAGCTCAGAGCCTGGAGCCTGTTTCAGATTCTGTGTCTCCCTCTCTATGACCCTCCCCCATTCATGCTCTGTCTCTCTCTGTCTCAAAAATAAATAAACGTTAAAAAAAAATAAAAATAAATTAAAAAAAAAAAAAGAATCTACAAAGTGGCAGCCCAAACGTGGTTAAGTCGGGAAAATGGGTAGTCTAGGTGGGCTGAAGGCTGGCTAGAGTGTCTGAAGAAATGAGGAGTCAGACTGGTAGAATGAGAAGGAACTGTGGACATTGTACATTTGTCATGATGGGGTGACGTGAGCTACACTCCTCAGTACAGGGAGATGAGGGGTGGAAGGCTGACAACAAGAGGTTGGTGGTCAAAAAGGAACCACATGCCTCATAGAAAAATGCTGGAAATGATCCTCATAGTCTCTAGATCGCTAAGGACACTAAATGCTCCCTAACTGACCAAAATACAAGGAGTACATTTTAAAAAATCATGACTGGGGCGCCTGGGTGGCTCAGTCAGTTTAGCGGCCGACTTCGGCTCAGGTCATGATCTCCGTGAGTTCGAGCCCCGCGTCGGGCTCTGTGCTGACAGCTTGGAGCCTGGAGCCTGTTTCATATTCTGTGTCTCCCTCTCTCCGACCCTCCCCTGTTCATGCTCTGTCTCTCCCTGTCTCAAAAATAAATAAAACGTTAAAAAAAAATTAAAATAAAATAAAATAAAATAAAATAAAAAATAAAATAAAATAAAATAAAATATCATGACTCCCATTATATACTGGTGGGAAATTTTTGTTTTGTTTTAGTAAACATTATTGACACAAGGAAAATCTACCCCCAATCCTCTCTATCAAAGGAGTACACATAAAGTAGGTGGGCTCAAAGGTCTTTTGCCTCTGCAGTCAAAAGCCTGTAGAAATCTGATCACTATGGTTGATAATAAGGCATCTCAACACTAAGAAGGAAAAGTGATTACCTGTAATACAGGTCTCCGAAACATGGCTTCTATTTGCTTTTCCTACAACCTAGTCTTTGGTCTTCCTCTGAAAAAAGAGAGAGAGAGAGAGAGAGAGAAAATAAATAAATAAACGCATCTTACAGCAAGAGCACAAATTCACTAATCCTAAATGCCTAACTGCGTTCGAAATTTTCATGCGGTGGGTCTTGCGACCATAAACATCAACATCCCTGCACATTTTAGGACTCCCCCAACCCCCCAAAACGCTTTACTGTCTTTTTTTTTATTCCCCTTGGCTTCCTCTTCCTCCAAACCATACAGAAAATACTTTCTGATTTATTCCCATGTGCATTCCACCGACTTTCCAAATTTCTTTAAATTGCAAGCCCCTTAGGGCAGGGATTTTTGTCTGACTTATTCACTGCCACAACCAACATTTCTAAGTTAGTTCCTAACACATGGTAAGGGCTCAGTATTAGAATGTCACCAAGGGACTTAAAGCCGAAACTTGTTGCTCCAAAAATTACTGCCTCCAAACCCGTTAGCAAAGACCAAGGAGAGCCCTGGACTCCCCGGCCTCACCGCCGGGGATGGGAGGGCGCCCTTTCTCAATGGTGGCGCTCCCAACCAACAACGTAAAGGGACAGGGAGGTGACAGAAAACCCTGAAGTCCTCCGCATGGGTGCGAAGAGAAAAGCCAAGACACCGACACAGCACCACCACCCGAACCACAAAGAGCTGCACGCACACCTAGCAAAGAACTCGTGGCTCCCTCCACCCTCACCGGACACTCTAGCCCGAACTAACCTCGAGCTAGGTGACCACTTCCGGATACAGAGGCGACGCAAGCAACGCGATAGGGGTTAAGAAAACGGAAAGTCTGTGGTGTGCGTCTGTAGAAATGCTCCGGCTAGCGCCGCGGAAAGCAAACCTCCTTAATGCGGTAGTTCCGGGAGCTTTTTTTTTTCCGGCGGGAGCAGAGAAGCAACGCCGCCGGGTGGTGAGTGGAGCTGATTTGAAGTTTCTAATGAAATGAAATTATTTCACAAGCTTCCCAGCTTGGACCAGGAGGGGGCGAGTTAGACGAAACAAAGGATGGCTGGTTCCTGGGAAAGACTGGAAAGGTCCAAGCCTGCTAAAGCAGTAAGGAAACCAGAAAAAGAAGTAGAGCAGGAACTGAGAGCGAAAAATTAAGGGGGTGACAAAAAAATTGGCAATCAAAATAATATTTCGAGAAGACAAAATTAATGCAAAAAATCAGTGGTGAACAAAAAAGCCAAAATTTTAATTAAGCACAAGATCTGAGCCACGTTGGATCTGAGGCACGAGAAAAAATGGGTGCACCGATACACGTTTTTACATATTAAAAACAAAAAAAAATCCCAGAGCATTAAAGTACTTGAAGAAATATGGAAAATTTGAAGAGTAGATATATTAAAACTCACAACACTATTTTAACTTTAAATATTCTATTTATACCAAAAACAGAAGTTACAGTAGCTTTACTGACCTTAACAGAAGTAAATTGATCAATAGTATTTACAAAATCTACTTCTTTGCTTATCTGACTTCCAATTGCAGGAATTGCCATGTCTGATGATTTTTCTTGACCAAGTTGCAAACTTAGTTTTAGTTAACTTCAGCTTACTGATCTTGTGGGTTTTTTTTTTAATTCTGATATTTTATTCATTGTGGATTTTTTTCATTAATTTTAATATTTTTTAAATATTGCATTAAAGTGTCCTTGATCTTGATTGCTGTGTTTCTTAGCACCCTTAAATTTTGCCTCCTTCACTCTAATCTTGGCCCTGCTTAGGAAGAAGTTATGGGGGCCCCACAGATTGCAGGATACAGGCCTCTCCTCTGCTGGTCCTGGTACTGTCCAACTTCTAGAAAATGAAAGTATCCTCCAGATCATTCTTTTGTTTTTCTTAATGTTTATTTATTTTTGATAGAGACAGAGACAGAATGCAAATGGGTTAGGGACAGAGAGAGAGGGAGACACCGAAGCAGAAGCAGGCTCCAGGCTCTGAGCTGTCAGCACAGAGCCCGATGCGGGGCTCGAACTCACAAACCGTGAAATCGTGACCTGAGCCGAAGTCGGACGCTCAACCGACTAAGCCACCCAGGCGCCCCCCTCCAGATCATTCTAACAAGCAAATCACCTTCTTGGGATCCTACTTGAATCCTCCATTGGCCCATTTTTGGCCTTAAAGGAGAAAATATGCCCTTAAAGGAGAAAATAATAGTCGGCATATCCTAGATGTTTATCTCCCATGTTACCTTTTTTACCATTTTATTTCAATGTTTAGCTCCTGAAACAGCATGTTATACTGCCTTCAGGCCTTGCACAGACATTGATACACCCCACCACCTATGTTACTACTGCCAGTGCCTTCCAATGATTTCCTATTTAAAAATCTCAACTTCTACTTGAACAGTTGAGTCAAATGAAAAACTAAATTCATCCTTTCCTCCAAAGCCAATTTTTCCCTTCTAAGCTATTTGTTTATTTTAATGGTACCAACATTCTCCCAGACTTGAACTTTGGAATCATCTTTTAAAAACGTCTCCCTGATCACCTACATGCATTTGTCTATATCCACTCACTTAGCCCTATAAGTTATTTCATTATTCCATTGACATCTCCCTCTTTCTATTTGCACATACTTTTGAGTGAGGAGTATGAAAACGGTTGTTTCAAATTAAAAAGAAGAAAGGGTGCCTGGGTGGCTCAGTCAGTTAAGCATCCAATTCTTGATTTGGGCTCCCGTCATGGTCTCATATTTCATGAGTTCGAGCCCTACATTGAGCTCTGTGCTGGCAGTGTGGAGCCTGCTTGGGATTCTCTCTCCCTTCCTCTCTCTGCCCCTCCCCTGTGGGCACTCGCATGTTCTCTTTCTCTCAAAATAAATAATTTTAAGAAAGGGTCACACCAGTTAAAAACAGACAGCCTTGGGCAAACTCATAACTTTATAAATAACATCTTAATCTACATAAATAGCATGTTAAGCTAATCTCAGTTCTCACACAGGATTTACCAATACACATGCTCCTTAGACTGTTGAAACAGTTGCAAGTGCTTCTACTTTCCTTTTTCTTGATAAGCAAAAACATTAAAATGTATAAAATATACAATGTCATGGACGAATGGAAATAAAGCATTTTCCTGTTTTCTACTCGATCTTCCTTCCCCACAACAAATCCTCCAGCATTGCTTTGCTCTCACTGTCCTCAGGGTCTGAAATGCCCTTCCCCATACTTTCAAAATTTTCTACTCCAATAAAGTCCTTACTTTGTTCTCGCATTTCACTTTCTTTACACACAGCTTATCTTGTGTTATAATTTAGATGACCATGAAGGTGCCTCCTCTTCCCCAGTGACTGTGAATTATTAGAGGACAGGGACCTTGTGAATATCTTGTCAAAAATCATGCTTTAAATCAAGGAGAGGCTTTAAAAGGGTTCTGGTCACAGGCCAGAACAAAGAAATAGGAAGAAAAAATAGAAAGAATGCAGAAGGATGTTCAAATAAGCCTGAAATTAGAAAACTAAAAACGAACAACAAAAAAATCAGGGACCTGGAAGAATGGCTGAATGCATTTTCATAATAGAGATACCCCTTCAAGAATCTCCAGTTTGCATAATTGGAGACTTTGTCGTTCATCCATGGACCCAGAAAGGGCCTTCTCAGTGCTGAAAAGTATTGACAGATAACATTGCAGCTTTAATCAGCTCCCATTACCCCCGGCAGTAGTGGAATAATCAAGGGCTCTCATCCTTTGCAGAGCTAGCTGAGAAAGAGAAGTATCTCATAGATGCCCAAGGCCACAAAGTTATCTTTGGCCATGCCTTTTTTTTCCCCTCTAAATTAGAAAAAGTCTCAGCTATGAGCAGCTATGAGTGGTAGAGATTAAGGCTGGTAATGCTTTATCACAGGAAGCTTTGGACAATATTATTGCTGTAGAAAAACATTTTTTGGAATTTTTAATCAGGTTTTCACTTTGCTTCTAAATCAATTTTTCTCTAGCCTCATGATAATGGTTGGAAAATTACAGCACTTCCTATCTAAATGGATTACTAGCATCTATTTTAAAGTGGCTCAAAAGCAATTTTAGCAATACTTCAGTTATTAGTTATTATGGCTATGTTTTGTTGTTAAATCATTTTTAAAAAATCAACCTGACAATTTTTATGTAAATCAGGATCGAAATTATGGTTCATATAGAGATAAAAAAGTTAACCATTCAGGCTGAAATGCTGACCTTTATCTTTCAATGTTCATCTTTGTAGAGCTTTAGATGAATGGCTTCTATAAACTGATACGTATGTTAGAGCTTAGTGAAGTATAATAGTATTCCTTTAACTATAAGTCTCAAGATTATCTGTTGGCAGCTTAATGTCAGTGTGTGTTTAAGAATATCTATAGTTCTCAACAATAGCCAAATTATGGAAAGAGCCTAAATGTCCATCAACTGATGAATGGATAAAGAAATTGTGGTTTATGTGCACAATGGAGTACTACGTGGCAATGAGAAAGAATGAAATATGGCCCTTTGTAGCAACGTGGACGGAACTGGAGAGTGTTATGCTAAGTGAAATAAGCCATACAGAGAAAGACAGATACCATATGGTTTCACTCTTATGTGGATCCTGAGAATCTTAACAGAAACCCATGGGGGAAGGGGGAAAAAAAAAAAAAAAAAAGAGGTTAGAGTGGGAGAGAGCCAAAGCATAAGAGACTCTTAAAAGCCAAGAATAAATTGAGGGTTGATGGGGGGTGGGAGGGAGGGGAGGGTGGGTGATGGGTATTGGGGAGGGCACCTTTTGGGATGAGCACTGGGTGTTGTATGGAAACCAATTCAACAATAAACTTCATATATTGAAAATAAATAAATATATAATAAATAAAAATAAAAAATAAAATAAAAGAATATCTATAGTAAATCACCATATTTATATCCTAAAATATTTAACTTTAATATTGGCAGTGCAATGATGTTAATACTTGATCATTAGTTCCCCAGGTTATCTTGTGATCTCTGTGCGGAAACAGAACTTCAGGACTGAGAATGCAGCTTCTTACTGAGGCAAGGGGTAAACTTAAACCTCCAACGGAACTGGAAGGGATTAAATCGCTAGCCCAGTGAAGACCCAGTCCCACTCACACTCAGCAGTGTCTCTGCAGCTA